AAGCAGTGGTATCAACGCAGAGTACTAGTCTGTTCTCATTTGGTATATCTGAAAGACGGGAGAAAAATATGTCATAAAAAAGTCACCTCTTTACTTCTCAGCGGCTCTACCACAAATATATTTATATATATATATATATGTGTACTTTGAAAATACATCAACGCATGTAGCTTGGCCAATTCAGTAAGTAGGAATGAAAAACAGTAAAGTCCCTGAACTGGAGCAATCGAGATAAAATACGAAAGTTGCTATAATCTCGTCGAACGATAGAATTCACTCAATCATTCGCGATGCACAAGATGTCCCTGTACAAGGTCGTCCTAACCTTCCCTTGCACAACTGCAAAGTCATGCACATCAAACGAGTTTCATACACACTCAAAAGTTCGATATAGTTTTCACTTAAAATTCAAAATTATAAGTCTTCTTCTAGGCAGATTGGTATACAACAGAGAGTCGTCAGGAAAGTCGTCTTCATAAGAAACCATAAAAAGTGATATCTAGAATATCCGAAGTTTTAGTACATCTGCGGTGATGACAACAATTGCCCGTAAGATATGGCCAATGAACGCACACTTTGAGTTTTGCGCCTCTAGCCACTTCTTACGCGTAAGCATGTTAATAACACAAAAGCACTATATAGCCTGTCAACTACACTGGTTGAGTGTGTCTCGCGTACCGAAAAGGATAGACCAGGAGACCACCAAGGTGGATGTGTACAAAACAAATTTCAAGTAAACTTTATCAAATCCCAAATTAAGAAAGCTAAATCATCTTTGTGAGCATAACATCTTCCGAATGGCGGGTGTACTTATTATGAGAGAGCTGATACAAGGACAAAGACAAAAATGCTATTGTTACGATATCGAGTGATAACTGCAACAACATGTGTAATTACAGTGTGATGGTCAGACTCTGCAAGTACAGCCAGTCAAGTACATGGGACAAAGACGAGGTACGATGAAAGCCAATGAGAACGAGGCAATTGAAATTCAACAGTGGCTACCTTGTTCGAGCACAACACGGCTTTTGATATCCAGAAGAGGTGAAGATATTACAGATGAGTTGCAGAGTTCTGACATAGACATGATACGAAATGGTGGGAAAGGCTAGTTTTGAACTAATGTTGGAGGTGCAACTACTCAGGAGGCAATAACAAGAAAGGCTATTTCCCTGAGAACATCCCATCAGAACAATCATATATTTGCCACAGCAAAGCGAAGCAGGCTAGATGAAAGTCTCTCACCCAGAGCAGCTAGCGATAAACATACAGCAGCTGATAATAAGAGTGAGCGCAATGATAAAAAGCAACCCATTTGTGGTCCTCACTCGCCTACTGTTTGGTTCCAGATATCGTGCGGCATGGCGTTACTTTGACATGGCATATCAAGCAGATCTTCGGTTTTATTTACAATCACAGCTGAGTAAACTTAAAGCTTCAAGATGAGCAATCAACGCTTAACAGACTGCACGCGTAGCCCTGTGAGGATGCCTTCGAGCCGATCCACTTTCAGCATAAGATCCTTGACAATCCTATTCACACAGTTTGCAAAACCTTTGCCATCTCCTCCAGCAATCGTAAGTGGCGTCATAGCAATCTAAAAGATAGCCAAGGTTAACTCCTATTAGTTTCCTCACGATCTTTTTTCTTTGAAATGAACGCTGAAATTACATGAGTGTTAATCAATAGATGTAACATCAAATTTACGAGTTTATAAAATACGAGAGGGACACCGAACCGCTAGCAGAGAAGTTTGCACTTCATCTCAGCGATTTTCTCGTGATTTCTAACCAGAGATAGGGCAAATTTGAATGTTCGTCTGTGTTTAATGTATGCGAGAAGGTTTTAGGTTTTTTTTTTCAAGTGGAGACCCTTTGACGAAATCACAAACTCTAGGTTCCAGCTTCAAACTCTAAGCAGAGCTTGTCGTTTTGCTCAGTTAGGCACCAGACTTAGCCGATTAACTGCTTCAACAGGACGCGCGTAATCACTGTCATTTGGTGTCATGTTGAAGGAAAATCGAATCGCCGTCCGCAATTTCGCTACATTCAAATCTTCATTGGTAAGCCTTTCTACCGATTTCCTCAATCTGCGAGGCCTTTTAGCTATCCCCTCAAAACTAATGTTGTTGCGAACATCGCAGACCCCACTTCGATTTCCGTCCAACGTGACGCCAAATGACACTTTTCAGTTGCGCCATGTTCTGCTGAAGCAGCTAGTCGATTATTCTAACGCTTACCTCAGATAGTAGCAACCCAATAAATAAAGCATAAACCAGACTACGACTACGTTCAAATGGCAAAGAAACTACGAGAAAACCTAACAATCACTACCATCAAATGGAAGACAGGAGTAAGATAAACCATAGGAGACTTTAAAGTAAAGTGCACACAGACCTCAGGGTTATCATTTCCATTCGTATCCTTGATCTGCCGTACTGCATAGGGTACTCCGTTGCTTTTCTCGCTTCCTTCCACAGAAGACGCTATAGACAAAGACACATGCCGAGGCGTTTGCTTTTGTTGTTCGGGAGTCGGTTCTTCAGGTGTATCATCGTGACGCTCAGCTCTGAGCGGTCCCACCATAAGCAGAGGTCTTTCAGCGGCTCGCATTTCTTCACTGAAGTGGTAAAGATCAAAATTGCTATGACAAAATTTGCAGGTAAAATAACAGACCGTAATCGGTATACTTCTTCGGTGGTGTTTGTTTTTCAGCCAGTTCATTCTCTAGTAAAGTGAGCTTTTCAGTCATCTCGTTGATCTAAATAGAACTACAGCATTTCGGGTATCTAGTTTATTTGTAGGCGGTCCTGATCAACCAATTCCTTTGAGCACTTATTCTCTACCAATACATGACTAATGCTCCAAATGATGTTAATGATGTTACCTTCATAACCATCAAACCAGGTCAACAAGTTCAGACTCACAGTAAGTTGCACAGTATATGAGATACAACAAACCTTCTTTTCAAGATCGGTGACCTCTTGCTGGTTGTTCCTTTCATGTCTTTCCAAATCGTCATCTTTTGTTCTAACTCACGAATTCGTGCTTTGTTTGATTCTTGTTCTCCACGAAGAAGTTTGACCTAGAAATGTCATTATATTTGGCTGATGACACGTGCTGCACAAGCTAGATCAAACAAACACAACAGCAAGTTGAGTCCATCCACTCAAAAATTGATCAAATCGAGGTCTGATAGCGATCAATGGGAGAACTATGAGAAAAAACCGACGTATTAGGTCGTCACATAATCTTGTTACACTCAGAGGAAAAGGCGTTCATAACTTCTCATCAATTTCTCTAAACTCCAAATTGAGTGGATGGTGGTAAATTTTCAATATATACGTGTCATATGTGAGAAATTAAATTTTTTGAATTTTTCTGAATCATTTTGGCAAATTTCCAAATTGCGTTATTGACAAGCCTAGACTTCCAGTGCCTTCATATTAGTACTAATGTTCAAATCCATAGAAAAAAACCGGGAGCCTGAAAAATAAGAATGAGAGAATTTTTATAAGAAAAAGAGAGAAAATCGAGATTAAAGTGCTGTCACAAGTTGCCTTTATTTTACTGTGATATACATCTTTAAAAGTGGAAATAACGCCAATACATAGTCCTTTGTTCATTGCTCATATGTGCCAAAAATTAGACTTTGCTAAAGTTTCTGAAGTTTTAAGGAAAATGAAAAAAGTATCACAAAAGTTATGTTACGATCTAATACGTAGTGATGGGACGTGAAAATATGGATGCGAAAAATGAGCAAGGCGGATAATTCGCGAGTAAATGTCAATGGTTCCTCCGCGGTGGATGCCTAGAAACTAAGAAATTTTCGCCGACCATCACAAATGAGACGTAAACAATAATGAATGATCAGCTGAGATCGGGAAACACTATGTGCGCAAGATTAGATTTGCACCAGATAAGAATATTGAAGTCCTTGACTGAAAATAAAGCACATGAAAAAAATTTGTCAGTCTGACAGTTCCAAGGACCCATAAGAATCCAGATGACCATATACTAGCTTTGATCTGTTATGAAGCGTAATAGCCTAACGACACGGCGACTCCGAACAGCACCAAGGCAGAGATAAGGGATCGTTCAGACCGCGCCGGAACCCGCCCAAACTCGCCCGAATACGTCCGAATCCGCCCGAATATTTCCAAACGCCCAAACCCGCCCAAATACGTCCAAACCCGCCTGAACCGCCAAAGCGCAGCAGGTTGCATGCAAATTGGCATATTGGAGCACGCGTGCGATTGATCCTTCTAATATGGGAGTAGTTGCAAAAGAAGATCGGTATGTAACGTCGAGCTACGTGTGACTGAGATAATGCACTACGCGAGCATTATTCCACGCCTGCTCCAATATGCCAATTTGCCGCATATCCGCTGCACTTTGGCAGTTCCAGCGTTCAGGCGGGTTCGGACGGATTCGGACGTATTTGGGCGAGTTTGGGCGGATTTGGACGTATTCGGGCGGGTTTGGACGGATTCTGGCGCGGTCTGAACGATCCCTAAGAATGTTTGCAGAACATATGCCCTTTCCTCTTATTAATTGATATAGAACTCGACATAAAAAAACTGCAGCAAGAAATCGGCTAGAAAATGAGATAAGATTATTACTGGCCCAGTAAAAAGAAGGCTATTATCTGGGAAACACTGATACATGGACTTTTGGAAGCAAAAGGAAGAGAAAAAGTTTATACATGTATGTTTTTCTTGCATATTCGGTTGTGGGGTTAGCAGCCAACGCTATATGATTTGTACAGTTCTTTTGGTCCTCTCACCAATAGTTCTACGTCGCGATAATGAAACTAGAGGCTTACGTTTTCATTTACTGCCTGCCATTTCCTTATCAGCGTGACATACGATAGGTGGTCACTTTGCTTGAATTTATTGGAACTTTTATGACTATCGCTAGGATTTTTTGAAGAAACTTTGTCAGATAAGTACTTTATCCGTAATTTGTGCTTCGAGGAAATCTTTAGCCTTGTACGAATTCGCTTTTCTTCCCATTTTGTAGTACGTATCCGGAACGAAGTTTCAGGATTATAGATGTTATTGTCCGTTTATAATTTTTAGCAGTTCCTCTGTCTTATTCAGTTTGAGTGCAGTTTGTAGGATGGAGCCTTCTTGCACCATAAATACCCCGTTTTCGAAATCTCAGCTATCCTTAAAAAGCTGATGTGGCAATTTCTATATCACAATCAGAGGTCTTGATTTGCATCTGTCAAGATAATGAAAAAAATGATTTTCTAGTAATTTTATGAAAAAGATGATGTGGCAATTTCTATATCACAATCAGAGGTCTTGATTTGCATCTGTCAAGATAATGAAAAAAATGATTTTCTAGTAATTTTATGAGTAAGAGATGATGCGAAGCTCTGAAAAATAAATTTGGTACAACTCAAAATCTACTCTATCATGTCAACCCATACAACGAAAGGTAAAAACCAAAGTTCAGCAGAAATCAACATGCCTGAGGTCTGCCTTTCCGCTGCAGAAAACCTCGAGGCCATGACTGCTAGGATGGAGGAGGATTGTCGCATTGAGTGCGATCTAGCTCAGTCACTGGTTCCTGTTTTTGAATTTTCATATTTGTCTGAAAAAAAAAGAAACATTCTAGAACAATCCTATAGGACTAAAGTAGAATTTTCTGTCTGTTCGCTGTATATTTCTATGCACCTCTAACTCAATTGCTTTAGAAAGCTCGAAAACTACTACTTCTTTTCCGCACTTGTGTAGGCAGCCTATGTTTAATGTGCTCGATTGAGCCTGCTTGATTGTATGCTTATACTACCTGTGGACGTTGTCAGCTTCCAAATGAGTAAGGCTCACTTGGTTACGTATAAAGATTTTATTACGACTTCTACAATTTTGACTAGCCTTTTCTGGCAGCTGTCTAAAAGCGAACTTTTACGGCTCCACCCCATCGTTTCCAACTTTCTATATAGGTAATCACGTTTGAAAACTAGAAAGCTTAGAATTATTGTCGTTACCTACCGCAAAGCATAGATACCATTGAGCTCTAGCTGCTGTTTGTAATACGGCGTACATTCGGATTTCCAAATGAGCATAAGTGGTGCCGTTTCTGAACAAAAGATGAGCCGTCGCAACAGAATGCGCAATCAACCCGCTCAGGTTGAAGCAAAGGGTGAATAGTCATCATCTCATTCCCCCCCCCCCCCCCAGTTGCTGTATGCATGTACTGTAAAAATGATGAAAAAAATAAAAATGTTCGTTGCGCAATGCCGATATGAGTTATTGATAAGGTTCTGCTCAATCTTCAATTCTGTCCACTGGACATCCTTTCAAAATTTTTTATTTCATTGTTAATATGATATCAAGTAGGCAATTTTTCCGAGTTTCACTGAGAAGAACTTTACTTGCATCAACTTAGAAAATCTTTTCTCATGGCTAATTATTGTGCTACTAACCATAAGTGCCCACTGTGGTTAGCCTTTTCCTCTTTTGGTTTCGTTGAATCTGATCAACATTTTGTACAATTTACATCATTGTAGGCTGTGGTATTTTGGTTCTTCAAGTGGAAACTTTAGGAAGGCTAGGTCATTGCTGTAGCTCATGAAACTAATCCCCAGCGAATTGCGAGCTCGAACATTCGCCCATACCGTATATTTCCTAGTGAATCAATTTGTGTTTCCCAGTAGTTCACTTGGCAGTTCGGAGTTGAAGTTAATCATCAGACTGAACTGCCCTGAGCTAACTTAAAATCAATTAAAATCAATTAACTTTCAATCATTACCCACGCGAGAAGTTTATTTATTACTCAAATTTGCTAGACATAATTTTGCCTTTGTCTACATTGCCTCTGAATGGTCTTTGTTTTCTCAAAATGATTTATGGTAGCGTCTTTCGCTTAAGTCCGCGATTTTCGTAAACATATGAAAAATTTGGAAATTTCACCTGATATTGAAAGTCTAGCCTCTCTACTCAACTGACTTGATCAAATCGGCTTTTGTCATTTGTAAAGCCTTTGTTCCAGCCTTCCTCTCACTAATGGAGCTATGTTTTATTACTCAATCCTAGCCGTGCCCGTCATCTCAGGTTTGCTGACAGATCTCAATTTACCCCCTAATCTGCTTGAGTATGCAGTTAGGAGTAATCCTGAATTGAAGAGGAACTGCCAAGACAACGATTGTCAACTAGATGTGCGTTACAACACTTTTTGCTTCTAACACTTTCTGCCGATGTTCGAATTTCTAGAGTAGCATCCTTTTTAATGGTCGGTGTTGGGGATATGAAGACGGTTGCGCATATGAGAACTCATACTCGGCTGAGCTGGGTTGGCCAATATGTAAATCGCCATCAAAACGGTGAATACATTTTTTGTGGAAGACCCCTCAAGGTCTATTTTGATACTTCCAGTGACCAATTCTACAAGCAAGGTGATTTTGGTTACATTGCTGGATTCAAACCAACAAATACCATCTGCCATTCATCTACGGAGGTACCTATATCATTTTGCTGCTCATTTTTTCGCTAAGTGACAAATATCGTAAGCACTTTTCGCTGACAATAAGAGTTGGCATCATATCATTACGTTTGCTTAGGAACAAAGCCGGTTGCAATGTTCGGAGGATCTCCGCCATTGTGTTGGGCGGAACATCTTCATTCATTTCAAATCATGGAAACCTCAAAATTCCAAACGGTAGACAATTTTGGGAAGAGTATTTGAGTTTTTGCACAAATAGATGTCCCCTTAGGTATCGCGAAGATATAATCCAACCAGGAGAAGTTGGAGGCAACTGCGAAAAGTTTTATCCCGAAGTACTAAAGGAGAATATGAATGAAAAAGGCTACCTAAGAAGTTGGTATGAAATTAGACAACCAGATAAATGCATCAAAAACCGTAGCATATTTCAGGGCCGATGAGTTGCAGCACTTTGAATCTTCCCCTGAATTTTCTGTCGACTATGAACACTGCAATGTGATCTTCGAACGACCCACCATCGTCATGAAATTGGACGCTTCTGTGAATATGTATCATCACTTCTGCGATTTTGTCAATCTCTACGCTTCGCAACACATCAATGGATCATTCAGCCAACAGGTAGCATTAACTAGCGAAAAAAAGAGTTTGGAGACAATGTCCAAACAAAAGTGAATATCTGGAAGTTTTTCTTCTGTGGGATTATTGAGAAATCTTGACCGAGCCGTCACCCGAGCTGCAGCTCTTTGATTTATCCATGGTCAAGGTTTACTCTAAACTCCAGCCCTAATTTACCTCGCTGAGCGAACCAGCGTCCTTGGTTACTGTGGAGAGACGGTATTGTACCGGAATTTACAGTCAAATTGCTTGGCCACGGTGAAATGAGCTGCAGCTTGGGCATTGCTTACCTTTTCGGTATCCACAAAAGTAGTCTACGTACCTGGGACTGCCTGGACCCTATTGTTGGTGCAAAGTTTTACAAGAAGTTCTCTTCGTAATTTTTCAAAGCATAATCATTGCACTAATCAAAAGAGGATAAGCTTTACAGCCTGGATCAAATTTCTTTTTTTGGCATATTACAACGATACAAGTCGATCAAAAGAAACAATTGGGCTTTTTCGAATTTCGGTCGCTAAATTTGCTAAATGTCCATTGGAATCTATTCCAATCTTGTTTTTGCAGAATATATTCATGTTGACCGAATAGTCCTAAAAATAGCTATGTTTTCCATTTTTCAATTAAGCTTTCCATTTTGATCGTTGTATTTTACAAAAGGCTCTTAATTCGGTAAGCTTTTCAAGTATTTGGAATGTATTTTTTGTAGCAAAAGCTGCATTACGAAGAATATTTTCAAGTTGATTTTGCAGGTCGATGTAGTTTGGTGGGATACTCATAGTGGTGGCTTTGTCGATGCTTTTTTCGGTGACACCTGGAAAGCTTTTTCCGATTCTAAGCCTGTCGAATTGGCAGCTCTTGCTGGACGTCGCGTATGCTTCAAAAACGTACTTCTACCGCTTTTGGCTAGACAACGTTTTGGACTTTACTACAATATGCCTTTGGTGAGAAGCAAGCCGGCAAGCTCTATCCAAATACTATCGTTAAGGTGGAAGGATGTTCTGGATCGGGGTTAATGCATGCCTTTGCTCATCACCTTCTCTACCGCCTAAACATCTCACAAACGGGACCGCTCCTAGATAGTGTGCGATTAACTATATTATCAAGAAGCACAAAGTTTAGAAGGATACTTAACTTAGACGAGGTAGGTGAATAGCTGCTTGTTTCTGCAGAATTTATGGGAAGATGTAGGTGTAATTTGTATGCAGAAACCGTAGCAAAGTACCAAAGACGATAGTATCACATCTGAATTGAAATTCCACATTTTATGCACATGTTTATCATCTTCAACTTAGAAAATAGTATTGCTATAGGTAGCCGACATTTCTCGAATTCACTAAGAACCTCTACAAATTTTTTCTCAATTCGCGAAGAAAACTCGAAGGTTTTTTTTCGTTGTCTGCTGGGTTTTCTATGAAAATATCCACATGTATACATACACGTTTTTTCCGCAATTTTTGAGGTCTGGAAAATTTTGTTAGTAATGACTAGCACTACCGAAATTGGGGGTCTCACTGCGGTGGTGTCGGAAAATGAACTGCAAATTTTTCAATGGTCTATATGGATAATAAGATAGTGCTAGTGACTGCCTACATGAATCAATGAAGTTTCAAAGTTATAAAAATCAAATCACCTTTGTAAAACTTTGGCACATGCTTGTTGACATCTGTATTAGACATTCAGCTGCAAGCGTGTAAATCTCTTAGGAAACTACTCATTGATTTTGAAGGGTCTTGCCACACCACGAGCCTTCACTTTAAATGATTTATTCATATTATCTCCCATATCATCTTCATAAAGTATCGGTCATTGATTGATTTTTTCGCAATCTGACCATCTACATCTGTGGAATGTGTGTGTAGTTTAGAGGCTTCTGAGGTCCTGACGTCAGCAGCGGCCTCAGCTATACCTATCTCTCTCTCATACTTGCTGCGTCCGAGTACCGCTTGTTTGTACGCCGACGGAAGCGTTCTCCGTTTCGTCGTCGCTAACATCACGTACTTGTCGCAGCTCGATTGGCACCAGAATTCTCTGAAACCAGCCCAAAATAAAAAATCCTCCCTTTCCCTTTTGTGAAAATTTTCTTTTCAATAATATGTTGGTTATCCCTTGCCGCCCCAGAATAATTTCAAAAAGATACACTTTCAGACAATTTGCTCATTATGCTTAGCTCTCTCTGATGAAAAAAAAAAAGCGGATTCAAGCCAGTAAGATCGCGGCAATGTAACGATTCTGCCGAATGGAAGTAAGAAGCAAGTTTTTCTTCCAAGTTTTTGCATAGCTATCCTTCCTTGATAACATCCTTCGAAATGGATAGATTTTTTGAGGGAAAGAAGAATGTACCTTTAGAGGCTAATATTTCTATTGTATGCTACCATAAACGCCCCGGTTCGGAGTAGAAAATCGAGGTCGAAGTGACCCTTTCGAATGAGATGTGCAACATTTCTCAGGGAACCGAACATGATTCCAAATATTAGGTCGTTCCGAAAGTTCTTTCCGTTTTTTCAACTATCGTGAAAACACGTGGAACGAAGAAAGAGAAACGCTTCAAGCACTTTCCGACGCAGCTTTTCTTCCTCTTTTCAACTATCATATTCCTGTGCCGCTCGCTCTTGTGGTCAGTGAGATAATAGCTGAAATTTCGGACCCATGGTTTTACCATGTCCAACTTTGGCAATTTTTCACTATCTTCTTTTTCGACTTGGGGATTAGCTTTGATAGCAGTCGGGTAGAGTAAACAAAGTTCAATATTATGCAATTTTCCGGCATCTACAGTTGGCCTCAAAACATTTTAACAATTATTTTTCTGATGCTATCAAATTCCACTTCTGTGGATGCCAGAAGCCATAGAACATAAAACGGCGCACAACTAAGGTGTCATTCGATGCAGCTTTTTCTCGTCTTTCTGATGAGTGCTTTTTCTTCTTGGTTTGTGGGATCTTTGGCGATAAAATTTCCATAAATCTTGATTTTGAACCCGCCTCACGATGTTCCCGCGAAATGCGAAATCTTATATTTCGAAGCGGTAAACGCTCAGTTACTTTGTAAAAATAGTGTACAATCATAAACGACTTTTGAAAGTTTCGAAAACCGAAGATTTGTTGATGTTCAGAGCGTTTGTGTGTTTTGTGACTTTGAAAAAGTGAAGACTTCTGGAAAAGTTGTCTCAAAAATAATGAGAAGCCAGCTGAAATTGCCAAAAAATTGCATTGCATTGCACTTTGTTTACTCTATCCGACTGCTATCAAAGCTTTTCCAAAAGTCAAAAAAGAAGATAGTGAAAAATTGCCAAAGTTGGACATGGTAAAAACCATAGGTCCGAAATTTCGGCCATTATCTCACTGACCACAAGAGCGAGCGGCACAGGAATATGATAGTTGAAAAGAGGAAGAAAAGCTGCGTCGGACATTGCCTAAAGCATCTCTCTTTCTTCGTTCCACGTGTTTTTATGATATGATGAAAAAACGGAAAGAACTTTCGGAACGACCTAATATATTTTCTTTTTCTGCTGTGCTCCTCTGAACGCCAAGTTATATGTTTTTGGAGCAGAGGTGAATGCATACACAGATAAAATCAGTTGTCAAATTTCCTCCGGTCCTCAAATATGGCAATGGTGAATACGAGGATACTGAAAAAAAAGTATTTAACGCATGAGCTCTTGCAACTCAATACTGGCCATTATGAAGGCTTTGATAATTTTGGTCCGTAGTAGTTGCTCGTTCAATTCTTCGATAAAAAACGCTTTTAACATAGCATTCACAAAAGCACAGCATTTATCGATTATAAATTAGAATTGACCTTTAATGCGCCTCAGAGCGATATAGATCTCTTTAGGAAGAGCTAATTCCTAAAAAAACACTTTCCTTGGGAGTGCATTTGAAAATTCATGAGAAGATGACATTGTCATAAAATGGCCTCTGACGCAGATTATTTGCAATTCAAAACAAATAATTTTTTCTGCCAGAACTCACAATTGTCTTTCCCAAACCTGTATTAAAGTTAGGGGCTTATCAAGAGTTTTTGATTTTAATGACATATCTCGTAGTCAAAAAAACAGTTGCGCGCTCAAACGATAGGCTGAACGAAGGAATCAAAATAAGATTATCGCGGGATTCAGAAATAATGCTTTCTACTAAATTTGAAGCAAGTGCACTCGACCAGAAGTAGCCGTAAATTCGCGTAAACGTGAATTCGCTGCAAAGATATTGTGTATAGTTGTGTTAGATCTTTTTCTTTTTCTCAAAACGTCACTGTAGTGTTTTGCTGATATGTTTATTTCATCCATCCGGCAAATGAGCTTAAAATGGATCATTTGTGGAAAAAATGAGGAAATGTGTAGTCGTTATTCAAACGCCGCCTTTTGGGATAGATGTAAACTGTTTTCGCAAATTTCTACTCAGAGCTTTTTTGTTTGTGCGGAGAAACGGCTTTAAATGCGCAAACACAGTAACTTAGTGACTTACCTGATGTCCGAGTTGTGGTTCGCTCAGGAAGTAGCCGTGAGTTACTTTCTCTTCACTTAGGGATTGCAAATTCCCATACAGTAAGAAAACGATAATAGCCGCTGCTATAGCTGGAACGAAGTCTTTTAAGACAAAACGAAGTTAACCGGTGTTTTTCCTACAAGGCTATAGCCACTCGCGTGGTACTAAAAGATCCGAAAAAGAAGCCATAATTCTTGGTATTGCCTGCTGACGCGGCTATAAATCTTCACAACACCCGGTTTCGTTCTTTGGCGTTTTTCTAGAACTCCGCGAAACAAATGGGACCGTGATAAACGGAGCGTCAACTCGTCATTTGCACTTCCGATTCGCCCTTGCGATGAAATATGAGACTGAGATTTAGCACTTACCATGGATTGGAGCGAATATCATTTGCAGAGAGTACATCGCTATCCGAGTGCTCGTCACAACACGATTTTCCTTAGCGCCTATACGCTCGAGGTACTTGTCCTCGTTATTCACCAGATATGCCGTCCAAAAGAATAATGAGACGCTTTGTACAAACGATAACGATGCGGCTATGCAGCTAGCTATCTGAAATACTTTCAATATTAGAAGCTTTTTCGGTTTTGAAGAAAAATTGCTGGGTTGTTGAATGTTGTGCAGCATTGAAAATAATTTAATAAAGCCAGTAGGGTGATATACAAACGAAGGATTTAGAATCAACTTTTTTTTTTTAGAAAAAGTGGCTTTTCCCAGTTGTATCAAAATATGTCAACAAGCAAATCAGTGAAATGTTATGAAGGAGTGAAAATGGATCGCGAATTTTTTTCATGTTGTCTATGCATAATAAAAAGGATGCTATTTGTTTGTACTTCAAATTTTAAATAACTTCGAGTTTCTCAAAATCGAATGAGCATTTAAATATTTTTAGGGAACTTTTGATGAGGGGGCTATAGGTCCGCAAAAGCTCAAAAATTTCCAAAAGCAAATTTGGAGCGTTTAGTCACTGTCACTGCTATGTACCTTTCGTTCGAGAAAGTCTCCGTCCCCCCCCCCCCCCCACCCGCTCCCCTCCTCCATCATGGAAATCTGTGCGAAGGTTGTTGCTACTTATTCATTTAATTGATATCAATACTCATTGTGCACAATGATTGCAAAAATAAATGAGATTGATCTAAAAAAAAAACATCGAATAAGGATACTGCGAAAAAATGCTACATGAACACTAACAATTTGTCAAGCTCAAAAATCGCGCATCTCAACGAAATTAGGCCAAAAAGGTACGAATAAGTGATAGATTATTATGGAAGCTAGTACGGTTGTAGCAAACACTCTATTCTACCTAAAGGAAATTTTCTTCACTTCGAAAAAATTATTTATCGGACGCGACTTTTGTTTACTGCTCGAAATGTGGCGAAAGTGATAGGGTTTACAACTTGTTGTTGACTCCATTCTACAAACTATCAAATTACAAGGCTGCAATTTTGCTGAATTTCTGAACCCTTCATTATAGGTGTTACTACCTGATACTTCTTAAATATTTTTCAAGGTGAACGTTGTTGATTCTCGCAAGTACTCACCAGCCATCCTCGTGTGGGTCGGCATTTGCAGAATACAGTTACCACTATAGCATTACATAACATCAAACAACCAACAACTAGAGCAATATAGTAAGGGCACCCGTCATAAAACACGCAAATGATAGCAAATATGATCTGTAATAGTGAATGTTGGAAAAGAAAATCTGGGAAGCGCTTCAAGTAGAAAAAGTCTAGCAAGGGAAGCTTGTTTAGTCGAATGGCCTTTTTGGATGAGATGTTTACCATATTGAAGGACATAAAACGCTGACTTCAAACATGCCTTCCTTATCTGCAGAACATCCATGGACAAAGAGTTATGAGCGTTTTTAGAGCCAAAAATTGAATGTGCATTTTGTAAAAATTGAATTATTAAAAAATCTTATTACCTCAAATGATGCAACCAAGTGCGACATATTTTTTAATTTAGAGTATTTTTTGATCAAAGTGCTCTGATGATCACTGCTCCATTGAAAAGCTAGAAAAATTGTTACGGTTATTTTTGTCCTACCTGCACATTCAATTTTTTGCTCTTATAAGCTCTCATAACTCATCGTCCATAAACGCTCTGCGCATAAGGAAGACAAATTTGGAATCAGCATTTTATGCCCTTCAATATGGTGTAAACCCATCTAAAAAGGTCACTTCGACTAAACATGCTTCCCTTGTAAGTAGGGGCTTGTCATCGAATGAATTTTCTGAATCGCCCAGTCGTGCAACATAATTTGTTTGTTCGTGTTCTGTTATATGGTACTGTGATGTAGTCAACGAACACTATAGAATTTGAAGATTTCTAATAACAGGGCTTAAATACTTTTAGAGAATTTTCTTCTTCTGGAAGCAAAATTTTATAGCTCAGCCAATCCACATTTGCTAAAAGTCCTCTATTCCGCTGATCGCTTTGTGTTTGTCATAAATAGTGATAAAGATCAGCTGAAGTTTTTCCTATTTACAAAACTCACCACTTGAATTGCACTAGCAAAAGCTATAAGACTCAAAGTCAGGAGTGTTCGAGGATCAGCAGTGAGCACATGATTCGTAAGAAGCTGCTCTACCTAAATTTTTGAGATTTTTCGATCTAGAAAGTATCTTATCAAACAATCTTACATGGTATGATGGCGTCATATTTGTAAATTTTGAACCCATACTATCAGCCATTGCAAACGGTTGGACGTTCATCGTTGTTCGAACTGAAATGAGAACCTTGCTCAGTTAAATGTGTAATCTGAAAGGTGAGAACACTTCGCACGTTTATCTGCTTTCCAGCACTTCTGCCACATTTCAAAGAAAGCAAAAGGTGAAGCCATTTATGCGTTTTGCCATCGCTTTTGATAAAATCGTATTATCATCCTTACGTTGCGAAAAACTACTAGCAAAGCACCAAAGGTCTGCCAAAATGATATCTAACGATAAGTCAATTATATGTACCACTTTGCTACTGTAACCCTGCCTGGAATCGGTTTGGTCAAAACTGAGTCCGTCTTGGTCTCTTTGGTATTGGTACTCGTGTAGCACTACAATCAAGTTTGGGTTTCGAAGCCTGAGAACTGGAAAATGAACTCTTCTTAGAACTTTTATAAACAGGGTGTCCCAAAAGCATATATGTATACACTGCTTGATCGTTGATATTCTTTTCCCAAGAAGTCTTTCGCCTATTTTTAGGCACCATTCTGTAGAGCTGGCTTCAACTCAGATTTACAGTACGAAGCGAATCACTCATCGCTCTATAATACTGTAGGATTAGGTAGAAACTCCAAGCAGGATTTTGAGTCATTAAGGGTCCTATTTTGTCCTATTTTGCCTCAGAAAGCAAACAAATAACCTGCAAACTTTTGTACTAGGCTAATTCGAGCCGACAAAACCAAAATGAAGTTTGCACTTTACCGCAATGCTTCCTTAGCAAGTTATGCCAGGTAAACCGCAATAGCTGTTTTTACAAAGCTCCATAAAGTCGTGATTACATTTAAAAAGCTTCGCAAACTCGTAAAAACTTAACTAATAAAATTAGCGAGCGTAAAAACCCTGGTACTTCACTTTTCAAATTTTTTGGAAACCCTGAAACATGGTTAATGCGCAATGACGGTGTAAACTGAAAATTTCTACCGTAATCCTACAGTAACATAGAGCAGTCAGTGATTCGCTTCATAGTGTAAATCTAAGTTGAAGCCAGCCCTACAAAGTAATGCCTAAAAGTAGGCGGAAGACTTCTTGGGAAAAGAGATATTGAGGATCAAACAGTGTATACATAATGACATCTTGTATGTTTGAACATGATATGCTCGTTTTCCACTTCCCCATTCCCTCTAACCCCCCCCCCCACGCCCCAGTGAGAGCATTGCAATTGCCCTCTTTGCGGTTTCGCGTCCTCACCCGACATAGGTTACTCGTCATGGGCGTGGCTGACCAAATGGGTGGGACAGCCCTTTTGAAACTTTTGCATTTGGGTCAACGTTTTTCTCGGCGCTCTCAAGTGTGGTGTAAATGATATTCTTTTGCTCAGCAATCAGTTTACAAAACTCAATATTCCATTGCCTCGAAGCAGCGTAGTTTTATTAAAAAGTTTGGGGTTGAGTCCTTCTTTTTCAATCTTGTCAGTAGAAGGCTTTGACTCACCTGTAGATTTTGTGACTATGCTATCATTATCAGATCCCTCAGCTCCTGATTCTGTCGCTTTTCGATCCCGATCATTTATAGGTTCCAGACCAAATGTGTCGCGATAATAAACAATGGGTGGGAAAGAAGGAGTGTACTGAAATGATAAAGGCTACAATAAGCTACAGAGTAATTCAAGCTTATCATTAAATGAATAGTAGCTTGACACTAAGAAGTTTATTTTGTAACCCTTGAGTTCCCCTAAATTTCTCGTATGAAGTCTTCGTTAATGGGTTGCATCACCAACTGTGATGCTGAGTCACTTTTTAATCATTTTGAGAGCGTCTTGTGCGGTTCGAGCATTCTTTATGACAGCTCTTTAATCTTCTGTCAGCTGTTCTCCGATCAATATGATAAGGAACCAGATGATAAGTTTATTCGCGAATCTGATGCGCATTCATCATATATACTATCTGGTACTCGCAAAAATGTGAAATACAGAAATATGAATAAAGAATTTAGGTGGCACAAAGTCTTTCTACGTCACACAATCAGTTTCTGATGCAAATGTTGAATGGCTGTTATTCAGCCACTTTTATTCTTGATTGGATTTTTTCGCCTCATTTGGTTTTCTCAGTGATTTTTTTGTGGTAATTCTGCTATTTAGGTAAATTGGCACAATTAATTTCATCAAGCCACTTAGCTGGCGTGGAGACAGCGTTTAGGCAACACTTGTAATCTGGGTTCCTATGTGATTACTGACTACTGTTACTGCAAGGATTTGATTACTGTAAGGTTTATCTGAATATAGCTATTGCCATGGTAGCTTAAAAGATTTCGTGGATGAAATCAGCTCTAAACTGCGACTGGGACTGCACAATTTCCACCTGATCATTTAGCGTTTTTGAGATGGAAATTATCTGAGCTGAAGTTTGGAGTGATCTTCATCCACCAATACGTTGAGAGTTGTCATTTACATAGAGCTCCAATTCAAGAGGCGGTCGAGAGGCGCGATTTACCCGGAAGTCCCCAACTCAACACCCCAACTTAGAGCTACGCGCGCCTTTCAGGAATACCAGACAAAGTGTTCTAGCTTATCTGAACTTACCACTTGCTAAGTTGGAGGCTTTTGGTGGAAAATTACTTGAACTACTCACAAAAATGCCATTAGTTGCATTTTTACGGGTTCTTGACCTCTAACATCTATGCTTTGAATCTAATTCAAAATACGAGGTTGAACAGCCTTGACAGCGATCTTGCATATTTCTACAGAAATTTCGAATGCTTTTAAAACGTCATTAAATTCTAAAAATGCGCTAATTTGTGCCCATGTGGTAATAAAAATCGCGCCTTTTGGCATACACCCCTTTAGTTCATCCTCCGATCATTTCCATCTGAGAAATCCTTAGATTCGCTTTTACACTGTCATCAATCACCCTCCATTTCTTATCTTTGAGCCTCCACTCAGTGTCAAAGTGCAATTAATGATTATATGGTTACATGAATATCGTTGAATCTGGCGAAGAGCTTGATTTTTTGTTACAAGGAAAATAAGTGATACTCAATTTATAAATTCATCTCTTTTCATCAGATGACTGTGCCAAATGTTTTCGCAGTAGAAGCAAGTCATGTTGTGAACATAGGCAAAAAACGGTCATTCCGTAAATGAAGGGACAACTGTTTAGGTTTTTGCCGATATCACTCGACATGCAGAACTTGTAAAAAAAGCATGGAAAAAAGAAAGTGTAATGTTGCATTGGATAGAGTCTAAAGAAGAAACTCTCAGATGAAATAAATGCAGAAATTCCCGGCGTATTTTTTGCTTCCACATTTGCGCTATGAAAAGAAAAATGATCCCATATCTAAGATATCACCGGAACGTTTCGTTATAATAAAATTTTGCTTTCGACCACTTGTCTCCAACAAACTCCTTTTCATGAGAACATTTTGGCTTCATGGTGAGCATATAGTGCATGGCCAAGCTAAAAGCTATTTAACAAAACGCTGTTACTCTAGCAGAGAATCCTCGACTACACTACTTTTCTGCAAATGTAAACAAGATAGGCAAGCTTCGAATTTGAAATTTTGAAATTTTTAACTGTTGAATGCAGTGATAGCTACTGTAGGAGATCGGAATTTCCAGGATCGAGTAACCATTCAAAAATCTACTAGGCATTATTTTTCTCTAGGTCACGCTTTCTGAGAAAATTACAGAAATTTTTCTAAATAAATTTGGGGATTGCTTGATACTCACTGTTCTATGGGGTATTCTGGTCAGTCCAAAACGAATAACTTCCAAACCTAACCCAAGCGATCAGAAGCAGTACAGCATTCGGTTGGATACTGGAGTTTACGTATCCGGGAAATAACTCGCTAAGCTTCATAGCTGGCGCAATAGTTTGATGAGGGGAGGGGGATGGCTTCTTCGTAAAAAAATTAGGGTTAGTAGATATTAACGGGCTACAAGAAGGTGTGCAATTTTGCACAACATGTGGGAAGCATCTAATTACCTTTCGTGTCTGTTATCACATTTTCATGAGAAATTGATTGATCCTGATATGTAGTATATCCATTATGAAATACCGTAAAATTTAGTTATACGAAGAAGCTATATCTGGCATTATCTAACTCCTAGTTCAGAAGGTTCTTAGCGCTCAGCTTTCAACTGATGCCTAGCTCCAGAGGACTATCTTTTGTGGGTTTTCAAGCACAGCAAATGTGAACGGCTGGCATGTGAAGTTTTTAGTGTTTCTATCAACATGTGTTCCTTGGAACGTGTGCTAATTGCTAGAAATAGGACGCTCAAGAGATGCATGATGTAAATTTCTGGAGTCTTTGAGTATCTAATTTATGGGGAGTTTGAGCTTGATTTTCAGTGAAGCTGGAATAATCAAAAAAGATGGAAGGGTGAGAAAAGGGAGATAAGAAGATAGAATCGCGAAGACCGAGCGTTTAAGTATGATGGAATGAATGTTGTTAAAATACTCTCTATTTTGAAAAGCGGAAATAAATTTGCTTCTGAGTAGGGGCGGTTTTGGGAGATCTCCCATCCAGTTTAGAGGTGACAAGAAATTTGAATCTACTAAGTTCTTAACGCTAAGCGTGTAATCAAACAATATGCGCTATAAAATTGTGGCCAAAAAAATTGCTAAAATTTTTTACCGGTCTTAAGAAATCCCCGCCCTTGAGAGCAAATTCCCCCACACTCATAAACGAACCTTATTTTCGTTGGTCCGATACGGGACTGGTCCTGCCATGTTGTAGTGGAGCGGCGTGGGGTGACACAAGTGGCTGGCGGCACACGAGGAGCTGCCTCCGTCTGTTACACCATGCAGTCAGCATCGATAACCCCTTCGGATTCCCCGAGGCTCAAGCTCTTTGACGAGATCATCCTGCCCCATTTTTCCACACGTGATCCTCAATCATTCTCGCGAGACAAGTGGCATGGACGGCAAAATCAAAAATTTCTGGCCGCATAATCATTTTTTTCCTCCACCATCGCTTCTCGATAATTTATGCTATCATCATCTGCTAGGAGAATTCAAATCACCGATTGCTTTTACTGCTTTTAGAAAAGAAGTTGAAGCCGTTCATGCCGGACCTTTTTATCTATAATAGTTTTGCACAAAATATGAAAACGATGCTACTTTACCCCTCTGTTAATAGTCTAATTTTTTGGAGAAATAAAAGATGAGAGATATTTTTGTTTTCAGAATGCGTTTTTTCTTCCAACACTCATTCTCCCACCTCTGAAAGAGTTGCTCCGCGTTCTAAAGTTTTTAGAAAACTTTCAGATTTTCTCAAGCTCTCATTTATCAGTTTTCAAAATTTTAGAGATTCAAGTTGATTTAGAATAATTCCAATTATTTATAAGTAAACAAGTTACCTACATATAGTTCAAGGTAAACGCTTGCTTTCTCTTCCCCCTCCTCTTCTTCCATCCGTCACTGTTACCCACATTTGCATAAGCTTGCTTCTCCATCAAATTGCACTTTTTACATTGATCAGGAGTTTTACGCAATGGAAATAGCGCAGAGTATTCAGCAGTGAATCCACAGCGGTGGCTGGCTGTTCAAAAATTTGGTGTGCCCGACAAAAATATTTTTAAATGGAGGCGCAACGTCAGCCACGCCCTTCGATACATGAAAGCTACGACTTGTTCTTATATAATCTCAAAATATTTTAATGCAAGTAAAATAAGTCTTATCCACATAGCTCGACATAGCTCATGTACCTTAAAAGAATACTCATTCTGGGATTTGGGGGGGGGGGGAGTATATCTGACCTTCTCACGTTGCCTGGTGCAATTGCACCCTGCATCTTTTCGGATGTACAAGAGGTATGACAAGGACCATGAACAGCTGGTTACGGAGCATAAGGAGTTTGTCATGTAAGTCAAAATGCAAGAACTTTCAAGAACTTGGTCACAGTTGCTTTACAATTACCCTATTTTCAGGTGTATAAGCCGCACCCTTTTCACTCTAAAGGCGAGCACGCCAAAAGACTGACTTTCATCAAGGAGCGCGTTAAGTGAGAGCAGTATGCGGTAAGGCGACCGCTTCGCGAGACATATGCGCGGCGGCACGCCTGGGTCTGCTCGCATTTAGAGCAAAAAGGGTGCGGCTTATACACCTGAAAATAGGGTAGCAATTTTTACAAATGTACCTTCTCAAGCTTTTCATCAGTTCTAATCGCGAGGGTTGTCAATACCTCATGAATCGAACAAAAACAAATAGATACCATTGAGCGAGATAATAGTGAAGACCATTCTTCAAACCATAGATTTCTTGGAGCCGAGGGCGCTAAATATGAAATTGCTGTCATTGGCTGCCTTGAAATCATTTTTTATTTTCTCTTCATAATAAGACCTTTCTTCTTGTTTTTCGGATCAAAATTCTTGGGGTAGAGGACTATATGTCGCCGAAAAAGGGCGGTCCCTGCGGTCATTTGCGACAAATACGCACCCTTATACACGCGCGGACATGCGTTCCTGCAGGGAATCCGCGCGGGACTCTTCCAAATTCGGCGACATATAGTCCTCCACCCAAATTCTTGTCATCTTCTGCTGTGGTGTCTCGCACAATACTGTTTTCGAATGAATTCGCTCAAACCTTACTAATCAGAATCGATCTCAGCCTAAAAATCAAACAATAAACGTCTCAAACTCAGTGTGGAACACTTCTCAATTGCGAAAATAGAACAAATGACAGCAATTTAATCAATTTGATGGGACAGTAGGCGCGCTCAGGACCCAAGAATTCTTCACCACTGGGGATTCACTTCCTGCAACCAGTCTTACTGTTTAGGCCAGTCAATGTCACTGCTTATACAAGCTAATAAAATAAAATTCTGTTTACTATAAATTTTTGAGTGACACGAAACTCTTGCACTAAAGTTGAGTTCGTAACCTTTTTCACTCTCAACAACTTCGTTCAGTTCGGTATATGTAGAAAAGAAATCACTCGTTTTCTACGTACAAAATATCATAGCCAATCATTTACAGCATATCGTGGTGACCAGAGCTTATAAAAACAGCGTATAAAGAAGAAATTGACCAGCACTGATGTAATATTGAGAGATTTCGAATGAAATTTTCCCACGTATTTTCTAGGTTTGGTCTGTTAGCCTCTCACCTGTATTAAGTTGGCACGAAAGTTGTTGCGTAAGAGCAAAATTCGATAACTTTCGAATGGCTGGATATAAATTAATAACTTTGCTTCCTAAAATTAATAAAAGATTTGTGGTTTATAGCATACAAGCTTTTCATCAGCGAGTCACCGAGAACGAAGTTTTCTGATATGGCCTATCAAATTTTGCGATTTTGTGTTTGGTGATAGAAAACTGCGGAGAGCCGCTAGCTAGCCATGAAAAGTCTGTGTCTTACATAATAGTAGCCCACACATTACTGAAGTAGGCTTCACTCCTGCATGGAAATGCAGTTACAAAAAAAATCCCCACTTTCATGGCATCATCTTAACAAAACACAGTCCGAGACCTGAAATAACTTAGTGATCACTTGAAATGCTGTGACGTTTTTTCAAGACCTCGAACCTTGCCACATTAACGTATTGACTATTGCTAAGTAGTAAATTTTACGAACCTTTCAGGCTAGCTAGCGCTCTGCGGAAATTTCTGGCACCAAACTCAAGAGCGCCAAATTCGAAACGCTATTCATATTCAAAAGTTTCGTTCTCGGTGGCTAACTTATAAAAAGCTACGCTTCAATACCTGTTATGACTCGCAACCGTCCACTATTTTTAGAAATTATTATGGACCCAACTTCACTAATTGGAAAGTTGTCGAATTTTGTTCGATTTACGCAGTTATTAGTCAGCTGTCCTAATCTAATGGCAATAAGTGCTGTCAACAAGTGGTAACTAATCATTTTTTGTTATTTATCACTTGCTAGTCAAACAATGACATCACTCCCAATTTCATATGGCAATTGTGCACACCTACCGTAGAGCATCGTATCACTCTGGGAACGGTATTGTTCTGTAAGAACAGCTTTCACAAAAATTGCCAAGGGAAAGTACCACTTAGTATGTGGAAATTGTGAATTATCACTGATTTTATTATTGTTATCTGAGTTTTTTTTCTTCTCATGTTCGCAGAACCATGATTAAGTGCAATACAATTCATTAGCTCTACTTATAGTATAAGTTGCATAAGAAACTTCAGTAGTGTTTTCTGAGTAAGGCAATTGACAATGCATATGTACATTGTGCATCTAGCGTCCAGCCAAGGCTAATAATATCGCTTTCAAATCTTTCCTTTCAGTTACTTGCAGCAATCAGGAACATCTCTGGACTCACAGTCAAAGTAGTTGATTACAATGGGTAAGAAAACTGTATCTAACAAAGAGACTTTACTTGATTGATTTCTGATGGTTTAGGCAGAATCCCTTCCTCAACCAGCTCAACAGCACCCATAATTCAGATATTTTCGTTGGAATGCACGGTGCCGGGCTCACTCATTTGTTGTTCTTGCCTGACTGGGCAGCGATTATGGAACTGTACGTGGACATACATACTGTTATACAGGAGTCCCAAAAAATGTGCACTATTTGATTGTCAATAACTCTTTTTTTCTTGAGGTTTTCTAAAAGCTTTAGGTACCATTTTGTGGAGCTGGATTCAAGTTAGATTTACAGTGTGGAGTGTATCTCCCATTTTTAGTCGACACTGTAGGATTATGGCACGATTTTTGAAGAAAGTCTTGAGCTGAGGGTTATATTAGGTGGGTCCGAAAGTTCTGTCGTTTCATTTTCAAAATTTGTAACTTCGCGAAATTCCAACGGATTTGCTTGCCTGTAATTTTATTAGAAAGAATAAGTCTTTCTCTTTCAAACGCTTTTTTGTGAAGCCTCTGTTTCACACTAAGTGCGGAGATAAAAATGGAAAACTAAGACCATATAAACTTTCACCATTTTAAGTTAGATCACCAAAAATCTGGAATGCTGCAGAAAAATCTGAAATCGGCAGTACGTTTGTTTTTTGACCTTTTCTTTGCAGCTGTGAAGAGTTTGTGCTGTTTGGACGTCTCTGTGAGAAGTTATGAATATCGAGTTTACTATAGAAAACGCCAAAATTATTTAATTTGTCAATTTTCGCGAAAATCATAACTTTTCACAGAGACGTCCAAATAGCACAAACTCTTCACAGCTACAAAGAGGAGGCGAAAAAACATATGTACTGACGATTTCAGATTTTTCTGCAGCATTCCAGATTTTTGGTGACCTAACTCAAAATGGTCAAAGTTTACATGGTCTTAATTTTCCATTTTTATCTCTGCATTCAGTGTGAAACAGAAGCTTCGCAAAACAATGGCTGAAAGCGGAAAACCTAATCTTTCTAATGAAATTACATGCAAGCAAATCCATTGAAATTTCGCGAAGTTACAAATTTCTAAAAATGAAACGACAGAACTTTTGGACCCACCTAATATTTCACCTACAAAAAGAAATCGAATGAGCTGGAAATTCTGAGGGTTAAACAGATTTGCTGATTAAATATGAAATCGCACTCCAGGCTTGACGCTCTTCTTACAAATTATGCTAAATAGACCGTAATAACCGGCTTTTTGACGCCCCTCAAAAAAAAACATTGCGCTACTTGAAAAAGCTCCTAAAGCTAGTAAAAATTAGCGTAATGAAATTAGCATGCCTGAAGAAATTGTTACAAACTTTCTCAGATTTTTTTGGATTTTTTTCTCGATTGGCTAATTTTACACTGGCGCTATATGCTGGAAGTTCCTACCGTACCCTACATCATCGACGAAAGGTGGGAGATTCGCTTCACACTGTAAATCTAAGTTGAAGCCAGATCTACAGATTAACCTAAGGTTTTTCGAAAGACTTCATGACAAGGGAGCTGTTAACAATGAAACAGTAGGCACATTTTTTGGACACTTCGTCTTTTTATTCTTAAGCGTTATAGAATATGCAAGTATGGTGAACAGTTCTGACGGCAGCGCTTGCAGACTTATGAGGTTTTATTTATCAATCTTCCGATTTTTGATTGGACGCTAATTTACCGTTTTGTACTAACGCTCGTTCGGGCAATGGGCCCCCCTATGAATTAGCGCTTGATCAGAGATCGGGAACTACCTAAAATGTGTAATTTAGCTGTAGATTGTTACCTAATCGTTCGTGTTACTGACGACTGTTGGTAAGCTGTGTTTCAGTTACCTCACCTCTTTTTCAGATATAACTGCGATGACCGCGACTGCTATAAAGATCTAGCACGACTTCGAGGAGTGAAATATTTTACATGGTCGCCTGGCAAGGTACTGCTTTCTGGCTTATTATTTTATGCGTGAGCTCCTCTTCATTGAGCAGTAGTGATGGTATTAAATGAAAAAGTACTAATGAATGGAATGATAAGTTTATCTGTGTTGATGTCATCTTCATTTTTCTCGTAGTTTACCTTTGTAGATTTTGGTTGATTAGCTGTGATTCTTAGAACAGTCTTACATTGGTACTATAGATGGAAAGTTTCCTAGAAAAACGGTACAGCAGCTACACACAATGACTTTTTGATTTTTGCAAGTACGCTTTAGTGTATGAAAGCTCTGTTTTCTATGACATGCTCAAAATATACCATTTGATTCAACTGATACCATTTGATTCAACTGACGTGCCTGCTGGAAGGCGGGGCTTCGTGACCTAATTAAGGCTAGGTGATGATCAGAGAGCACGCGCGCGGGAGAGGCGCAGACTGCGTCGCGGGCGCGGGAGGCCTTAATTTAAAGGTCACAAAGCTCTGCCTTCCAGCCGCCAAGCCAGTTGAATCGAAGGTTACATTATATTCCAGAAGTTCAGCTCAATATTCATAAGACTTTTAGATTGTAGACGCAGTCAGCAAAACTCAGCTTTCAAATTTAGCTGCCATTGTCCAAATCATCTGGAGTGGACTGAAATTTGTCAAAGCTGAGAAATGTGATAATTCAAGTCATAAAGTGGTGTAGTTAAATCGAGACAATTTAGACTAGCTTTTGCTATAAGGATGAAACCTTGTTTCGAATTAGTATGACGTGACCTCCCTTTTAGGAACATCTGGTCTATCCTGAGGACGCTGGCCAACATCCTAGCACTGGTGCAGCGCATAAGAAGTTCACCAATTACCGATTCGACCCTACAGAATTCAAGCGGCAGGTTATTCTGGTGAGTGAGAAGAGCTAATTCTGTGAATAGTCTGCATAATTACTGTTACATAAACAAGAGTATTCTTCTTTATAAAAACTTTCTTTCTTCTTGAGAAGCGGAAAAGTTGAAGAATCGCGATTGCTGAGATGGTCTTATCAAAGGGTGCACTGAAGACGCTTTTAGTTGAAATGAAGCATCTTATGCAATTTTTGATGCTGGTTTTGTGGAGGTCATACTCATTACCTGGCAAACAAGCCCTACAATTTTTGTTTTGGTTTTTTGTAATTTAAGATTTCAATTCAGTCATGCTTTAAATCAAGGAGCCTTGGATTTTTTTCAATCTATTTAGTAGATGTAAACCAGATTATAAACTTTGCAATTAGCGGACCATATAACAGCTGTTCAATCTTCCTCCATCGTGGAAAAAACGATTTGCTTTTGAAAGCGCATTAACTTAAAAGGGAGAAGGTCGTCCTATTTGCTGGACTATATTCTAATTTTTTTTGACAAGATAGAACTATACATGCTCAGTCAAAGTCGAGAGATTTCTGTATAATGGGTACCATAATGCTAAAGAAAAGGCATTGTCAGCCTTTTTCAGCTTCAGTGCTGGGTTCAGAAAAGAAAACTTGGAGTAAGAGTAAGGGGTAGAGGTAGTTATGTCACCGACAAGCCCTACAGTTGCGGAATGGGAAAGGACGGCACTTGTTTGAGATATAATCTCTATCGAGAGACATGTACGCAAGACCTTCGTGACTCACTTCAGCCTTTCTTGCAGATGGTGGAATACGTACGACGACATCCGAAATTTGTACAGGAGAGGAGAATATTGCGAAGGGCTCGAAGAAATGAAGAGCTTTGACACTGACAAAATTCAGACCTAGTTTGCCTTCGTAAATCTCTTGTTCACTTAGCTTGCATTTGCTCAACGACTTCGGAACTATTACTTACACCAAAAACTCAAAATCGAAGAGATACCTCCGGCGGGCAAATGGCGCGAGTCTGCCACTTTGCGTTCTGGAGCGCTCTAGAGCCCTGCCATTTCACCTATTTTAGTGCTCGGGGCTCTCAAATCTGGCGCACCTCCGGAGCAGAGATGGCGCGTCCCGGAGAGGGGTCCCATTCGCCTGCTTGTGAGTCACCGCGAACGAATGGGACCCCTCTCCGAGACGCGCAAATCTCTGCTTCGGAAGTGCGCCAGATTTGGGAGAGCCCCGGAGCACTAAAATCGGTTAAATGGCAGGGCTCCGGAGCGCTCCAGAGCGCGAAGTGGCGGACTCGCGCCATTTGCCCGCCGGAGGCATCCCTTCCACTGTTTGAGAAAGTAACTTCTTCAAATAAAGATTTTATCATATTCTGTGGTATGTCGTCTCGAGCCCCGCCTCCTCTTGCTATCCTAAGACAGTTCCTCTGCGCCTCAACAATAGAAGTGTGCGGGATCTTTTCCGCTGACATTTACATCTCACTGGACTCAAAAAAAAAGGTATGCTATTAGTTGAGCTCATGGCAATTCAAAGTGTGGTAAGAGTGAGCAGCTTTTTAAGTGAAAGAGCAATTCCGTCGAGCTTTGGCTTAGCATCGAGCGGTTTCGACTCAGAATAATCATTCTTAGGGAATAGTACGCTTTCACGCGTCATCAAACATTCGTGAATGCTTTAAAAATCACACAAGGAAAAAAATAGAAAGGGACGCTTGGGGCAATGGTCTTACGCTCCCCTATGACCGTTTGGACCAAGATTCGAACCACGCCCTTGGAGAAGTCAAGAACTGTAAATTTCGTCGACTAATTGCTACAGAGCAGTATGAGAAACTACAGCACTGACTTGGTACGTGGCAGTTATCGTAGAATACTCTCCAGTAGAATTCCGACTTTAGATTGGAGGCATGAAATATGTTTGCGGAGGGTAATGACGGCGTCAAACCCTTTATTTTCTAACGAGAAGATTCAGGGTACCAGTTATGGATCGGTTTCTATTCACAAGTGCAAAAAATTAGCAGCGAGTGACCTCTGGGTTATGGGTCTAGAACGCTTCCACTGCGCCACGCCGCTTATGAGATCAAACATACTAGGTGAACTTTCTAGACATACACACATGATAACATCACACAAGAAACTGACAGAATCATGCGCGCGGCGCAGTGGAAGCGTGTTGGGCCCATAACCCAGAGGTCGGTGGATAGAAACCACTCGCTGCTAATTCTTTTGCACTTGTGTAGTAAACGATCCATGACTGGTGCTTGAAGCCCCTCTATAGAAATTAAAGGATTTGGAGTCTGACCATGGTTTTTTCTTACAAGGGAATGGTCAGAAATCGAAGTGACCATTCCAGACAAGCTGCGTAGCGTTAGATGCAGCATGAAGCGCTGACTTTAAATCTGTCTTCTTTATCTGCTTATCGCTTTTCTGGACGAAATTATAAGCCATTGCAGACCATTATTTTGCTTAGAAATTATGCGTGAAATTGAAAATTTAGCCGTACAGAGCCTCGATCGCCTCAATGCTGGGCCAAAACATGCAGCCAGCTTACTTAAAATTTTTGAAGCCAGAAGCCGAGCTAAAAGTGCAACAATGCGCTCAATCTCGCTGTTTTTATGTATGATTTTTTCACAATAAAATCGCTTGTAGCTTCGTCCACAGAAGCGGGAAGCAGATAGGGAAGACAGATTCGAAATCAGCGTTTTATACTGCATCGAATGATATACAGCTTGTTTGCTTTGCACTTCGACTTCTTACCATTCCCTTGTAAGAGCGGGATTCGAACCTTGGTCCAAGGAGTCATAACGGCGACAAATAGCACTGCGCCACGCGCATCCTTCTGTCATTTTCCAGATGATGTTATGTTGTATGTATGTTTAGAACGTTCGCCTAGTATGTTTAATTCCGTCAGCAGCGTGGCGCAGTGGAAGCGTGCTGGGCCCATAACCCAGAGGTCGGTGGATCGAAACCACTCGCTGCTAATTCTTTCTTTGCACTTGTGTAGTAAACGATCCATGATGGTGCTTGAAGCCCTTATATAGAAATTAGAGGATTTGGAGTCTGACCAGGGTTTTTTCTAAGAGCGGGATTCGAGCCCTGGTCCAAAGAGTCATAACGGCGACAAATAGCACTGCATGTTATGTTGTATGTATGTTTAGAACGTTCGCCTAGTATGTTTAATTCCGTCAGCAGCGTGGCGCAGTGGAAGCGTGCTGGGCCCATAACCCAGAGGTCGGTGGATCGAAACCACTCGCTGCTAATTCTTTCTTTTGCACTTGTGTAGTAAACGATCCATGACTGGTGCTTGGAGCCCTTATATAGAAATTAGAGGATTTGGAGTCTGACCAGGGTTTTTTCTAAGAGCGGGATTCGAGCCTTGGTCCAAAGAGTCATAACGGCGACAAATAGCACTGCATGTTATGTTGTATGTATGTTTAGAACGTTCGCCTAGTATGTTTAATCCCGTTAGCAGCGTGGCGCAGTGGAAGCGTGCTGGGCCCATAACCCAGAGGTCGGTGGATAGGAACCACTCGCTGCTAATTCTTTTGCACTTGTGTAGTAAACGATCCATGACTGGTGCTTGAAGCCCCTCTATAGAAATTAAAGGATTTGGAGTCTGACCATGGTTTTTTCTTACAAGGGAATGGTCAGAAATCGAAGTGACCATTCCAGACAAGCTGCGTAGCGTTAGATGCAGCATGAAGCGCGGACTTTAAATCTGTCTTCTTTATCTGCTTATCGCTTTTCTGGACGAAATTATAAGCCATTGCAGACCATTATTTTGCTTAGAAATTATGCGTGAAATTGAAAATTTAGCCGTACAGAGCCTCGATCGCCTCAATGCTGGGCCAAAACATGCAGCCAGCTTACTTAAAATTTTTGAAGCCAGAAGCCGAGCTAAAAGTGCAACAATGCGCTCAATCTCGCTGTTTTTATGTATGATTTTTTCACAATAAAATCGCTTGTAGCTTCGTCCACAGAAGCGGGAAGCAGATAGGGAAGACAGATTCGAAATCAGCGTTTTATACTGCATCGAATGATATACAGCTTGTTTGCTTTGCACTTCGACTTCTTACCATTCCCTTGTAAGAGCGGGATTCGAACCTTGGTCCAAGGAGTCATAACGGCGACAAATAGCACTGCGCCACGCGCATCCTTCCTTCATTTTCCAGATGATGTTATGTTGTATGTATGTTTAGAACGTTCGCCTAGTATGTTTAATTCCGTCAGCAGCGTGGCGCAGTGGAAGCGTGCTGGGCCCATAACCCAGAGGTCGGTGGATCGAAACCACTCGCTGCTAATTCTTTCTTTTGCACTTGTGTAGTAAACGATCCATGACTGGTGCTTGGAGCCCTTATATAGAAATTAGAGGATTTGGAGTCTGACCAGGGTTTTTTCTAAGAGCGGGATTCGAGCCTTGGTCCAAAGAGTCATAACGGCGACAAATAGCACTGCATGTTATGTTGTATGTATGTTTAGAACGTTCGCCTAGTATGTTTAATCCCGTTAGCAGCGTGGCGCAGTGGAAGCGTGCTGGGCCCATAACCCAGAGGTCGGTGGATAGGAACCACTCGCTGCTAATTCTTTTGCACTTGTGTAGTAAACGATCCATGACTGGTGCTTGAAGCCCCTCTATAGAAATTAAAGGATTTGGAGTCTGACCATGGTTTTTTCTTACAAGGGAATGGTCAGAAATCGAAGTGACCATTCCAGACAAGCTGCGTAGCGTTAGATGCAGCATGAAGCGCGGACTTTAAATCTGTCTTCTTTATCTGCTTATCGCTTTTCTGGACGAAATTATAAGCCATTGCAGACCATTATTTTGCTTAGAAATTATGCGTGAAATTGAAAATTTAGCCGTACAGAGCCTCGATCGCCTCAATGCTGGGCCAAAACATGCAGCCAGCTTACTTAAAATTTTTGAAGCCAGAAGCCGAGCTAAAAGTGCAACAATGCGCTCAATCTCGCTGTTTTTATGTATGATTTTTTCACAATAAAATCGCTTGTAGCTTCGTCCACAGAAGCGGGAAGCAGATAGGGAAGACAGATTCGAAATCAGCGTTTTATACTGCATCGAATGATATACAGCTTGTTTGCTTTGCACTTCGACTTCTTACCATTCCCTTGTAAGAGCGGGATTCGAACCTTGGTCCAAGGAGTCATAACGGCGACAAATAGCACTGCGCCACGCGCATCCTTCTGTCATTTTCCAGATGATGTTATGTTGTATGTATGTTTAGAACGTTCGCCTAGTATGTTTAATTCCGTCAGCAGCGTGGCGCAGTGGAAGCGTGCTGGGCCCATAACCCAGAGGTCGGTGGATCGAAACCACTCGCTGCTAATTCTTTCTTTGCACTTGTGTAGTAAACGATCCATGATGGTGCTTGAAGCCCTTATATAGAAATTAGAGGATTTGGAGTCTGACCAGGGTTTTTTCTAAGAGCGGGATTCGAGCCCTGGTCCAAAGAGTCATAACGGCGACAAATAGCACTGCATGTTATGTTGTATGTATGTTTAGAACGTTCGCCTAGTATGTTTAATTCCGTCAGCAGCGTGGCGCAGTGGAAGCGTGCTGGGCCCATAACCCAGAGGTCGGTGGATCGAAACCACTCGCTGCTAATTCTTTTGCACTTGTGTAGTAAACGATCCATGACTGGTGCTTGAAGCCCCTCTATAGAAATTAAAGGATTTGGAGTCTGACCATGGTTTTTTCTTACAAGGGAATGGTCAGAAATCGAAGTGACCATTCCAGACAAGCTGCGTAGCGTTAGATGCAGCATGAAGCGCTGACTTTAAATCTGTCTTCTTTATCTGCTTATCGCTTTTCTGGACGAAATTATAAGCCATTGCAGACCATTATTTTGCTTAGAAATTATGCGTGAAAT